AGAAATAGAAGTACAATGATGTACACCTGAAATTTTTACAATGTTATAAACCAATGTTACTGCAATAAACAAAAAATTAAAAAAAAAAAAAGAAACTCTGGAGCTGAAAAATACAGTAACAAAAATGAAAAATTCGCCACAGGGATTCAAAGGCAGATTTGAGCAGGCAGAAGAATGAATTAGCGATCACATAGATAGGGCAATTGAAATTATCAAGACTGAGGACCACAAAGAAGGACCACAAAGTTACGACTTAAGTAAACAGAGAAAAAGGGACCTGTGGGACACCAGTAAAAGAACCAACGTATGCATTGTGGGAGGGCCAGAATGAGAAGAAAGACTAAAGAGGCAAAGAGATTATCTGAAGAAATCAATGGCTGAAAATGTCCCAAATTTGATGAAAGACATGAATATAAACATCCAAGAAGATCAAAGAACTCTTAAGTATGACAAACTCAGAGATTCATACTGAGACACATTATAATGAAAATATTGAAAGAGAAAGAGAGAATCTTGAAAGCAGCAAAAAAGAAGTGAATCATCACACACAAGGAATCCTCAATAAGATTATCAGCAGATGTCTCATCAAAAACATTGGAGGTTAGATGACAGGAGGTTGATATATTCAAAATACTGAAAGAAAAAAACTGTCAACTAAAATCCAATATTCAGCAAAAGTGTCCTTCGAAAGTGAAAGAGAAATTAAGACATTTCCAGATAAATAAAAGCTGAAGAAGTTCATCACCCCTCGACCTACACTACAAGAAATGTAAATGAAGTACTTCACAGGTTGAAATGAAAGGATACTAGACAGTAACTCAAAACCATATGAAGAAATACAGATCACAATAAAGGTAAACACATGGGCAATTATGAAAGATACTATTATTGAAACCACTTTGTAACTCTACTTTTTGTTTTCTATGATTTAAGAGACTAATAAACAATTTTAAAAAAAACAATTATTAGTCTAAAAGTTAGTATTATTCTAACTTTAGTTTCTAACTCCAAATTTTCTTTTCTACAGAATTTCAGAGACTAATGTATTTTAAAAAATGATTATTAGTCTACGTTTTTGGACCCACAATATCTAAAGATGTATTTTTGTGACATCAGTAACTGAAAGGGTGAGGAAATGGAGCTATATAGAAGCAGAGCTTTTCTGTTACCAAAGTTAAGCTGATGTAAACTCGGCAAAAGTAGCCAGTTATAAAATCAATACACAAAAATCAGTTGCATTTCTAACACTGACAATAAACAATCTAAAAACGAAATTAAGAAAATATTTCCATTTACAATAGCATCAAAAAGAATAAAATACTTAGGAATAAACTTAACCAAGGATGCAAAAGACTTGTACAATGAAAACTACAGAACACTGCTGAAAGAAATTAAAGACATACATATACAATACCAAGAGTGAACTGTAATATAAATAATGAACTTTGGGTATTATGATGTGTCAATGTAAGTTCACCAAATGTAACACATCTATCACTCTGGTGCAAGATGTTGATAATGGGAGAGGCTATGCATGTGTTGGGTAGGGAGTAAATGGGAAATCTCTGTACCTTCTGCTCAATCTTGCTGTGAACCTAAAACTGTTCTAAAAAAATAGTCTTAATAAAAAATTTAATTAAAAAAAAAGAAGATATAAGTAAATGGAAAGACACCCCATGTTTATCAATTGGAAGACTTAATATTGTTAAGATGTTAAGATGTCAATACTACTCAAAGCAATCTACAGATTCAATGCAATCCCTATCAAAATCTCAACAATGTTTTTTGGCAGAAATAGAAAAATCCATCCTAAAATTCATATGGAATATCAAGGGACCCAAATAACCAAAACTATCTTGAAATAGAATAACAAAGTTGAAGGACTCACACTTCATGATTTCAAAACTCACTACAGGGGCTAGCCCCGTGGTGTAGCAGTTAAGCATGTGCTCTGCTGCTGGCAGCCCGGATTCAGATCCCGGGCACGCACCGACACACTGCTTATCAAGCCATGCTGTGGCAGCGTCCCATATAAAGTGGAGGAAGATGGGCACGGATGTTAGCCCAGGGCCAGTCTTCCTCAGCAAAAAGAGGAAGGATTGGCATGGATGTTAGCTCAGGGCTGATCTTCCTCACAAAAAAAAAAACAAAACTTACTACAAAGCTACAGTAGTCAAAACAGTGTGGTAGTGGCATAAAGACATATAGACCAATGGAACAGAATAGGGAGCCCAGAATAAACCCTCACATATATGGTAAAATGACTTTTTTACAAGGATGCCAAGACTATGCAATAGGGAAAGGACAGTCTCTTCAACAAATGGTGCTGAGAAAACTGGATATCCACATGCAAAAGAATAAAGTTGAACCCCTACCTAGTATCATATACAAAAATTAACTCAAAGTAGATCAAACACCTAAACATTAGAGCTAAAACTATTAAATTCTTAGAAGAAAACATAGGGCAAAGGCTTCATGACACTGGCTTTGGCAACGATTTCTTGGATGTGACACCAAAGGCACAGGTGATTAAAAAAATAGACAAAGCAGACTTCCGAAAATTAAAAACTTTTGTACATCAAAAAACAATGTGAATAGAGTGAAAAGACAATCCACAGAATGGGATAAAATATTTGCAAATTATATATCTAATAAATGGTTAATATCCCAAATATATAGAGAATTCCTAAAACCCAACAACAAAACAAACAACGTGAGTAAAAAATGCGTAAAGGACTCAAATAGACATTTCTCCAAAGAAGATATACAAATGGCCAGTAAGCACATGAAAAGATGCTCAATATCACTAGCCATTAGGGAAATGCAAATCAAAACCACAGTGAGATACCACTTCACACTCATTAGGATAGCTACTATCAAAAACCAGAAAATAGTGAGCGTTCATGAGGATATGGAGAAACTGGAACTCTTGTACACTGTTGGTCAGAATGTAAATGCAGCCACTGTGGAAAACAGTTTGGTGGTTCCTAAAAAATTAAAAATAGAATTACTATATGAAGCAGCAATTCCACTTCTGGGTATATACCCCCCAACATTGAAACAAGATGTCAAAGAGATATTCGTATACCTATGTTCACCACAGCATTAGTCACAATAGCTAAAACATGCAAGCAACCAAAGTCTCCACTGATGGATGAAGGGATAAACAATGCAGATAAAAAATGTGGTAGATACATACAACAGAGTATTATTCAGCCTTTAAAATTAAGGCAATTCTGATCTATTCTACAACATGGATGAATCCTGAGGACATTACACTAAGTGAAATAAGCTAGTCACGAAAAGACA